GTTTGTAGTCTAACTTAACGTATTATACATATTTTTCAATGGGACACAAAGGGATTTAATTTGGCAGCAAATGTGGATATATATATTTATTTTCTTGTTCTCTTTATTGGGAATAAATAGTAAAAAATTACAAAACCAATGTATTTCCTTGTAAATTTTTGCATCACAACATCTGTTTTAATTTGTGTAAATATTTACTCCAAAATTTCTATGATTAAAATGAAATCACATTAGCTTGACTTTTATGTTATGTAATGGAAAAGAAAGGATTAACGTGAACGTATGAATTTAAGATCTATAGCGGTGATCTATTGCTGCAGACAGGGGATGGACTGCATTATAACAGCTCTGTCCTGGCCTCTGTGCTCAGATTAAGTTCTGTGATGTCATTTGTGATTTCACTATACTCCCAAAGTAAACACTCTGCTGGATTTGAATTCTCCAATTCAGCCCACTTTCCAGTTCAGATATGTTGACCTAGATTGTTCACTTCTCCTGCCTTCTCCAATCTCTTCACCCTTTTGTGAATAACCCTGTATATCTTGGCCTTGAAAGTCAGCAATCTCATAGACACCCAATATGGCTGCAGATAATCTACAGTGTCTAAGCACCTTCATCTCAAAAGGAAGCAAGATGACAAGTGATTATACTGGTGTTAAAGCTGCCTGTGTAGTAGACTGCACTGCTAAAAATCTAACATAAAAAAAACACAAAGGAAGTGACAAGAAACAATAAAGAAAACATTATGTAACAATCTGCAGGAAAAAAAATTAATTCTCAATTATCGGCTGGTTAAAACTCTTTTGTGTGCACAACTAATATTTGTAATCATGTAGATTTAAAGTCGATGTAAATCCTAACTGGATGGCATTTAATATAAAAATATTGTTTTTATATTTTTTGCATCTCACTGCTGCTAATCTCCTCTAGCCACTTCCTGTTTACATGCACTCACTTATGGCCGGACAGGAGACTTACAGGAGCGGGAGACTCTAGAGACTGGCGCTGCCGTTGCAAGTCCTGAGATCCGCTTTGCACGTGCGGCTGGGACCAGCACGACAACGCTGTCACTGGAGATCAAAGGGAGTTCAGTACACAATCTCCCTTTGATCTCCTCTGCTGTGTATTACATCACTTCCTGCATTCAGTGTCACTCCCTGGTTACAGATCCCGGAGAGAAGCTGATGAAGCAGATCACTGATAACACTAAACTGATGAGCGGTAAAAGCTTTTAAAGCGTCGCCTATGGCCAATTTTGGGTGTGGTCGTTTTCTACGATTTCTCGGGCGCGCGCAATTTTAAAGCTTGACATGATTGGTGTCTAGTTACCCGACATGACCCAGTCCTTTATATTTTACCAAAAAATTGGGGTGATAATAAATGTTTCATAACATTTCATAGGGAAACAGATTTTTTTCAAAATTTAGGGTGCTTTTTTGTTATATAGTAAAAAATAAAGTGGTGATTAAATACCACCAAAAGAAAGCACTATCTGTCCCCAAACAATGGTATACAATTCATTTCAGTACAGCGTTGCATGACACAATAAATGTCATTCAAAGTACAGAAGCACTGAATACTGAAAAATTGCCTGGCCAGGAAGGGGGTGAAACACCATGGTCTATAAGTGGTTAATGATGGTGACATCAGTGGCCATGTCCCCACATTGAGGAGAACATGGCCATTTATTGAAAGCACATGTGAGAGGGAGACATGATTGTAGAGTAATTTTTAGATGGGGACAAAACATTGTCACCTTAAAACAGGATGTGCTTAAACAAATATGTTTGTGGCAGGCTTAGCAGGTATTATTTTAATTAAAGTTGCAGGTTTAAAAAGATTGAAAATGGCTTTTAAAAAATACATTAACACAGCATTTCTCAAACTTTTCACAGCACCCATTAAAAGTACGCAAAATCTGGAGGCGCCCCAGTCTAAAATGTAAAAACGTACAAAATGCTCCCCACAATTCATACAAGACCCTTATCCTGAATAAATGTCTGGTATGGATTCTAAGGGTGAACCCTACTTGAGTCATACACAATTCCTCATTTAGACATATATAGTGATTTTGGATAAATTGATTCTCCAGTCAGATAAATTGGCAAATTTTTGCATTTGAAATGTATTCATGTTTTTGAGTCAGCAATTCATTATTCATAATAGCTTGGATGTCTGAATTGACTAATTCTCCCCAGATGAGACAAATCTGCTTGCAATATTCTGGGGAATCCAAAATGAGCTAATCAGCGATTCTCCTGATGATATGATCACTATGCATACATGTAAAATATAGTTGTATACATTTTTAGAAAACTGACATAGCAACATTAATATGCTATCACGATAAACTTGACCGGTTTTTTTTCAGATTGTAGTTATTCTGATTGTGAGTCAATAATGTCAATAATAAAGCAATCTTCAAAAATCACCTTCTCCCACTGCTTAGAGTAAATTTATTCTAAAACTACTAATACTTATATGTGATTCATGTAACAACATTTGTCACCGAGTAACATGACAACTAAAAACATTGACATAAATATATCAAACCACCTATCATGGCACTCAGCCATGTAAAACTTAAAAAACCTAACTTCAGTTAAAATCTTTTTTTTTAAATAGCCAAGGTCATGTTAAAATAAAAAATGCAGCTTTGGCACCTTTTCCACAGCTTTGTTTCTTGCAAAACAAGCCCCACATGGCTCGGCATCCTTTTCTAGGTTCAGTAACACCTGGTGTCACTCAACCCTCTATTTGTGAGCTCACAGTACAATGCTACAGGGAATAGTTTTGGCATAATTCAGGACCACCCACTGCTGGACAAGAAGGACTCATGTGAGCACATCATGTGAATAGTTAGAAGAGAGTTGAAAAGGGTTAAATATGCTATTTAAAAAAACAAATTATTGAATTGGGGTATGTGGGCGTGCTCCAAGGGAGGACTGCCTGCCTCAACTAAAGTCAGACTTTTAATAATTTATAATTAGTATCATGAATTATGTTTAATACTAAAGCCACCATTTTAAAGTTTGACTGTTATCTTCAAACCATAAGAAAAGACAAAATATATACTTTACGGGGTAACTAAAGAGAATAACAAAAGCATTCCTTAATATGGTCATCTAACAGTAAAAGTAGTACAGACCCCAAGCATGCAAACACAATGGGGGGAATTTATCAAAATTGGAAAAGACAGAATCTGGAACAGTTATCCATAGTAACCAATCAGCTTCTCTCTCCAGTTAAGCTTTCAATATGAAAAATAGAAGCTGATCGGTTGCTATGGGTTACTGCTCCAGATTTTTTCTCCCCCACTTTTGATAAATTCCCCTTCAATGCACTTCTCATGCAAATTTATTTTATAAAGTTGCAGTTATAGAATGCCACACATGAGCATAGATGTGAATGTGTTTTCATGTACAAGTATAGCATCATGAATATAAATAAGAACATTGTTTAATTTAATTTTTTTTAAGTTTAAACTGTAAGGATTATAAATTAATATGAAATAGGTCACATAAAATATATAGGGTCTTGAATCAATAATATATTTTAAAGGGTAAGTCAAAAACTTTTTTTCATTGTGGGGGATGATTGGCACTTCTGTCAGGTTTTAACTGCTATCTGGGGATTCATTCGAGAGATTTCCCAACACTTCCTGTCCTCCTGACAATGGATTCACCAGACAGGAAGTGAGGGAAAAATCAGCAACAGGGATAGAAATACAAATCTGAATGGGGGTTGTAGCCTTCTCCTGCTCTACTAAAAAAAAAAAATTGTATTTCTGTATGTGTTGCTGGTGGAGAGTTGTCCTCATTCCTCACCTATTAAAATGTTGTCAGGAAGACAGGAAATGAGGGAAAAGCTCTCTAACAGAGCCCTGGATATCAGGCATCTGACAGGGGTTTTTACCCACTTCCATTCCATCCAAATCTAGATAAAAAGTTTTATTCACAAAAGGGTGAAAAGTTTGGAGAAGGCAGGAGAAGTGAACAATCTAGGCCAAAATAGCTGATTTGGAAAAATTCTCCAATTCAGCTCACTTTCCAGTTCAGCTATGTTGTCCTAGATTATTCACTTCTCCTGCCTTCTCCAAACTCTTTATTCTTTTGTGAATAACCCTGTTAGACTTGACAATTTAAGTACCACAACAAAGTTGCCAACATTTAATATGTACAATGAAAAATATAACAGTCTGAGCTTCATTAAATACTGGATATATCATTTCATTAGAAAAATATAGGAAACATATTTGTTTTAAGAATAGCTGTAAATATTCAATACATTAAATTTGAGATCCTAATTTCCTTTCTTCTTTTATTCAACTGAGACACTTCAAAAGCCTAAATATAATTTTTTTAAATAAATCCTTAAATGTATTTAAACATTAGTATACTCAATAAAACTATTATGAATTCCTGGGTTAGTTTCTAGTGAGATAATACAGGCTTGGACCTTGGAATGGCAAATCATGCTGATTTATGCCATTTACATATATATATATATATATATATATGGTCCTGAGTAAATTTGTATGTGAGTAGGTACACTTCCATCATAAAGTAAATGTGATAAAATTATTAAGCAGTTAAGAAAATGCTCGACTGCAGTGATGCCTATTTTGGGCTTAGGAAGCCATATTCATACAGTTGTCTAAATGAATTTACATTAGATTGCAAACTCTTGAAATCCTACAAGTGGTAGAGTATGCCTTAATAAGACTTTAATGTCCCTTCCCTACCTTACTTTTCATTTCATCTTATTTGTTGTGTGCCTTCCTCTGTCTCTTGTCTGTAATTAGAGGTCACACTTACATAGTACGTAAGTCCTCAGATTTGTTATGCGCATATAGAAGGTAAAAAATAAATAAAGATCTTTTCATCTATTTACTCAGTGAGTGCCATAGAAAGGACCAACAGATATTTCTATTATTTTGAATGACTACTACATTTTCATGTTTTAAAGTCAATTACATTAACCATATAGAATAATCTTACCTTTGCTGAAAACTTTCACAAGGTTTGTCTGTATCGGTAGCCTTGCCTGTGTAAATTTCAGAAGAAAAATACGTTTTCCTGCCTTAAGAGGAAGTAGATAACTGAATATTTCCGTAGTAGAAGCAGAAGAGTTTTGCAGCTTGCTCTTACTCAGTAACCGAGGGTGTAACTCTTCTTACAAAACCGAAACAAATTCTCACAGTCACCAAAAAACAGTTGTCAGGGGTATATGACTATCATACAAGAAATTGTAATCAGACTTCTTAAAATATTCAAGTAGTGTTTCCCAGGACAAAAAGGTTAAAAAGGCCAAAGCTAAACAAACTGTCCTAACGTGTACATAAATCTGAACAATTAGCTTCTCTTTTATGCTTCTTTTTGGTCTGTTAAATATACCATTGAAAGAGTTTTTTTTATATCTTTTCATTAAGTGCAAAAATGCATTTGTGCAATGTTAAATAATTCGTCCTCCCAGATGTCACATTGGAACTACAGAATAATTAGCCTTTTTGTTATGGAGATGGGAGAGTAGGTGAGTCTGAGTAGTTTAGCAAAGGAAAACTGGTCAGGCCTGACAACACTAAGGGGTTATTCACTAAGCTACTGAAGGCAGCCGAGTAAATAACCGAGCCGGAGGGAAGTGAGCCGAACGCCGGCTGGCTTCGGTGAGCCCAAGGATTAGCCAATGCTTCGGCTTAATCCTTCAGCTCCTTTGTAAATAACCCTCTAAGTCATCAAAAATGCTGTGTGTTGCCACACCACAACAGGACTTGATTGCATTTTTGGCAAAATAACAGGTTCTTCTGTTTTTGTATATAGAGACACCCACCATGTGACCTTTAAAAAGTTTTTTATAAAAAATAAAACGCCCTAAAAATGGTACACAGTGAACATGCATCATCAATCACATCGTCCGGTGATGTAGATCATCATCAATCATGATGAACAATGCCCACTGAAAGAAAAAACGCACATCCATGGCCACTCACCAAATAACAGCTCCCCAACCTGTCATCTGCAAAGTTAGAGAAGAGGCGGTGCAAGCATCCACTGCTTCCTTTGCAACTGTTGACAGCATGAAGTTGTCATATACAGTATATTAGCGGTAAAAATATCAGTATTACATTTAATGTTCGGCTTCCAACAAACAGAGTAAATATTCAAGGGTCTATTCACGAAGCAGCCGAAGGATCTAGCCGTAGCTTCGGCTGATCCTTCGGCTAGCTTCGGCCCCAGGACCCCTTCGGTTCAGTAGATAGAATTTCAATTTGCAATAGCCAATAGCAAACTAGCATTGCACCCGCCCTCTGCTGCAGTTCTCCATCAGGTCCACCTGATTGACAGCAGCAGAGGGCGGGTACAATAGCTAGTTTGCTATTGGCTATTGCAAATTGAAATAGCCAATAGGAATCTAGCAATGCATTCCTATGGCCAAAAATATATATTTTCTTTTTCTATTAACAAAAAGTCAAAGCAGTGTTTCTCACCTTAGAGGCCGGGAGCGAGATGCTCCCGGAGTGCCCGGGAGAGTTTTTTTCGTTTTTTTGACGGCAGCAGAACCGCCGGACAATAGAAAACAGTTGGGCGGAGCTAGCTGTCATTGCTAGCTCCGCACAATCGTTTTCTATTTATTTTTTTATACTTTTTTCACTATTTTTCTGCTCGGTACCACAGAGGGACCAAGCAGAACAGCCGAGCCTAATGCCGCTCTGCGGCATTCGGCTATTCACTCACTGCTGTTCGGCATCTATAAGAATAGATCGAACAGCAGCCTGTAGCCTGCCGGAGGTTCGGCTTAGCCGATCCAGATGTTGGATCGGCTGAGTCGAACTCCTTCTGCACTTCGGGTCGGCCGAACATGCTGAGCATGTTCAGCCGACCCGAAGCCACCTGATGTACGGCTGATTTCACCCGATATACGGCTGAAATCAGCCGTACCATCCTGAAGTGAATAGCCGAACAGCGTTCGGCTCACTTCACTTCAGATTGGTCATTCACTCGGCTAGCTATGGCAGCTTAGTGAATAGACTCCTGAGTGTTAATTCAGCAGAGATGTATTTCTTTAGAGGAAAGGTCTATTTTAATTAGTTCAATAGTGAGATGTTGTGTTGGTCTTTAACTGAATAATCATTTTTCATCATCAATCATTTTTAGGTGTGTTGAACCTATTGTCACTCGGGATGCACCGATAAATCGGCTGCCGAAACATATCGGCCGAAAATTGCACTTTTGGCTAAATGCCGAAAGTGCAATTTTTCTGCCGATACAGCGGCGCATCGTTCTTTCTGTACTCCCCGCTGGGCGCTGCTCTGTGTCCCAGTGGGGAGGAGAGAAAGTGTGGCAGCCCGCCGAGCGCTGCGGGAGGAGAGCGCTGTGAGCGCCCGGCGTCTCTCCTCCACCGCACTGCTCAGCCTCCTGTCACAGTCCGGCTGAGCGGTGTGTGGGCAGAGACAGCCATCGCTATCACAGGAGGCTGAGCTCTCCTCCCTGCACAGCTCGCTCAGCCTCCTGTGACAGCATGTCAAGAAGGAGAGCAAGTGCAAACACTCAGTGATCAGTGATCGCTAAGTATTTGTAAATAATTGAGGACATGGTATGGTTACTATAGCCTCATTTATGAATGAATGGGAAGTGATCTACATCGCCTCCTGTTCATTCATGATTGTGGTTATAGTAAACACACAATGTCCTCATGTTATGAATGAACAGGAACACTCATAGAAGATTCCTATTCATTGATAACTGGAGATGCAGAAAAAGAGATTGAGGACTTTGTGTCCTCAATCTCTTTTTCTATTTTGAAAGGGAAATATCAGGGGTCTGTTTAGACCCCTAATATTTCCCTGAAGCCCCTAAAAGTAAAGTAAAAAAAAAAAAAAATTATTAAGAAATTAGTTAATAAATAAAAATAAATATAAAAACATGAAACATTTTTTTTTAAATAAATGAAGATAATATTTAAAAAAAATTGAAAAAATTAAAATAAAAAACATTTTCGGTTTCGGTTTTCGGCCTGACAATTTTCTTTATTTCGGTTTCGGTTTTGAAATTTCCATTTCGGTGCACCTCTAATTGTCACTATTCAACAATTCATTATATCAAAGTACAGGCAGTCCACGGGTTACGGACGTCCGACTTACGGACAATCCGTACTTACAAACCGGGGTCTACAGTTCTCCTTAATGTACCGGCAGCTGCCGGCACATTTAGGAGAACTGTGGCTGCAGTGGCCTGTGTCCCTTCAAATCTCCGCTGCTCTCAGCGCCTGTGTTCGCGGAGGCAGCAGGGACACAGACTGCTGCATTCCTCTGCTGCCCCCGTACCTCCGCTGATGTCCGGGGTCCTCTTCCGCCGATCCGTTGGCTTCCCCGGTCCGGACCATCCTCCGCTTTCCTGGTACGGACGATCCTCCGCTTTCCTGGTATGGCCCCGGCTCCTTTCCCCCGGCCCCCCTGCTTCCTCTTCATTGCAGGCTGGGAGCCATACCCAGCCTGCTATTGGATATTGTAAAATACAATAACCAATAGCAAGCAGGCTATTGCACCCGCCGACTGCCTGCTGTCAATCAGCATGGGAAGACCTGATAGAGAACTTTCTTCTTCAGGCCCCTCCTCTGCTGATTGACAGCAGGCAGTGGGCAGATGCAATAGCCAGCCTGCTATTGGCTATTGCAATTTGAAATATCCAATAGCAGGCTGGCTATTGCTCCCAGCATTAAAATAAAAAAGTGTTAAAAAATACAATTAAAAAGGACAAAAAATTTTTTTAAAAAGTTAAATAAATAAAAATTTAAAATGCAAACAAAAAAAATAAAGTATATAAAATAAAATAAAAAATAGAAAAAAACTTTTTTTGGTGTGTCATTTTAAATGAAATTTGTTTAAAATTATATTATAATCTTCTGAACAACAGGAACAGACAGCAAAACAAATGTGACCCTTCCCTATGCTATCCAAAGCTAAAAAATGTTTTTTTGGCTGGAGGTACACTTATGGAACAGGTACAATTTACCTGTTCCGACTTACATACAAATTCAACTTAAGTAAAAACCTAAAGTCCCTATCTTGTATGTAACCCGGGGACTGCCTGTATATTATTTTAAGGTTATGAGTGCTTCTATACAGTAACTAATGATTACTTTTAGCCAATTTATTACAAGCTACAATATGGCATAAAAGAAGTAAAACAATTCATATAGTGAAAGGCATTGGTAAGTCAGTTGACCCAGACTGAAAGGGAACACAACATTTAAAAAGTCTACATCTCTGTATTCTACTCATCCCTCTATGGTGGTAGGGGCATAGTTTACCCTGTGTGCTGCAAATGCACCGCTTCTGCCACCTCTCGTACAGCTAATACCACCGCTGTCCAGCAAACTATCATAGAGGAATTGGCTGAATTATTTGAGCACACCACCAGGAATTAATTTTACCACATATGCTTCTGGTATGCTTCTGGTTTGCAGCCTCTAACTGTATCAAGTGTGGTAAATCTACCAGTTATTTTGGTTACCACATGTATAAGGAGACACATGACTGTTCACCACAAGGCACTGTCGCAGCAGCGCATGAATGATGCCTGTCAGAAGCATCCTTTTTCCCACTCCTCCCTTTCCACCTCTTCTGCCACTCCACAAGAATCCAACATCGGCGACCTCAAAAGATATGCAAGGCTGTAGGAAGGGTAAGATGAGTGAGGCACCTGGTACCCAGTGGAGGGTAAGAGGTTGGGGGGTGCATTGGGATTTGGATGCAGTGCGGATTGGCTCACATTACCATCTCACTCACGTGCAGCTCAGCTGCTTATTGGCTGGTTCCCAGGTGTGGCTAGAGTTGAGAGTGGCTGTAGTGCTGATCGCCTCAGTTTACCATAGAGACAACCAGAGGACACATACGTAGCACCGATGCATATTGGCTGGTTCCCAGGAGGGGAGGAGTTGAGGGCGGCTGCAGTGCTGATTGCCTCACTTAATGGGTGATGCACAGAGTTCCCAGCTGGCAATTTGCTGTCAGCTAATGCTGCTTAAAGCCAGCTGAAAACTCCAGACACCAGCCAGTGAAGCATCACACCTTTGACCCTCACATGAC